TTCTGGAATCTCAATTCTATTCCATTGATCTATATGCCTGTTCCTATACCAATACCAAGCTGTTTTGATGATTGTAGCTTTATAGTAAAGTTTGAAGTCTGGTAATGTGATACCACCTGCTTTGTTTTTTTTTGCTGAGGATTGTTCTGGCTATTCTTGGACGTTTGTGTTTCCATATGAATTCCTGCATTGTTTTTTCTAGGTCTGAGAAGAATGTTGCTGGTAATTTGATGGGTATTGCATTGAATTTGTAGATTGCCTTAGGTAAGATGGATATCTTCACAATGTTGATTCTTCCAATCCATGAGCGTGGGATATTTTTCCACTTGTTTGTGTCAACTTTGATTTCTTTGAGCAGTGTTTTGTAGTTTTCCTTGTAAAGGTCTTTCACGTCTCTGGTTAGGAAGATGCCAAGGTATTTCATTTTTTTTGTGTGGCTATTGTGAATGGAATTGTGTTTTTTATTTGGGTTTCTGTTTGTTTATTATTGGTGTAGAGAAATGCGATTGTCTTTTGTACATTTATTTTGTAACCTGAGACTTTGTCAAAGGCCTTTAACAGTGTAAGGAGGTTTTTGACAGATTCTCTTGGGTTTTCAAGGTATACAATCATATCATCTGCAAAGAGAGATAACTTGACTTCCACTTTTCCTATTTGGATACCCCTGTCTTAACAACTTTTTAACAGATTGAACTTGTCCCTGGTTTTCAGCTGGTCAAAGAACTCCTTCCATGTTTTTTTTGTCAGCAGTCTACAACTATTCAAAAGTTAGTGGTGGTATTAAGTGCAATTTGTGTGCTTAATATTTGGTCATTTGTCACAGGCAAACTGGCCATGTGGGAACTGTTTCCGATTACTGTTATTTAACTGTTTTTGAATGAGAGGTTCTTTGTTTACTGTTTTCTCAACACAGAATAGAGGATTTATATCTTAGTGTTCATTCTCTACTTCTGTTTTCAAAGAGGAAAACATGTGCTTCACTTGCTCATTTCCTGTACATTGCACCCAGAGGATTTGGAAGGCTTATGTCAGCACTTCTTTGAGGGGAATTGGAGCATAACCACTGCCAAGTAGAGGTTCAGTTATTTTCTTTTTTTAACCAGGAAAATCTTTGATAAATCATTTTATTTATTTTTTAAGTCGAGGTCTCACTCTGTTGCCCAGGCTGGAGTGCAGCGGCACGATGATGGATCACTGCAGTCTCAACCTCCCGGGTTCAGGTGATCCTCCCTGGGACTACAGGTGTGCACCACTATGCCTGGCTAATATATTTTGTAGAGACTAGGTCTCACTATGTTGCCCAGGCTGGTCTTGAACTCCTGGGCTCAAGGAATCCTCCTGCCTTGGCCTCCCAAAGTGCCAGGATTACAGACGTAAGCCACTGCTCCTGGCCAGAGGTTCAGTTCTTAATGACATAATTGCCAAGCACTGCCGTTTTTATTATGGAAGACACCCCTTTCTTCTTTCCCAGATGGCTAATATGAGTCCCGTGATGAGCGAAGAAGGAATGTGTTCCCCGTTTTGCATCATTTTACCCCAACTGCTCTTTTATCTTTGTTTCCTTACCACTTTTTAACAGGTTGAACTTGTCCCTGGTTTTCAACTTGTCAAAGAGCTTCTTTCATTTTTTTTGGTCAGCATTCTACAGCTATTCAAAAGTTAGTGGTGGTATTAGGTGCTGAAGATTGGTTCTGATATTCTATTAGGCAGTGTACATTGATTGCAGAGATTTTGAACCACTGGCTGAATTCTGAACGCAGGCAAGATTTGTGTTAGTTGCCAGCATTTAAAAGTCAAATGATTGCATTTTTGCCCTCTGTATCATCTAGCCACTGGATGGTCAGATACTTTTCTTTAAATGGTGCTGATTTTTCTTCCCCAGGCTAAAGATCTAATAATCACACCAGCTACCATTTTAAAGGAAAAACCAGACCCAAATAATCTGGTTTTTGGAACTGTGTTCACGGATCATATGCTGGCAGTGGAGTGGTCTTCAGAGTCTGGATGGGAGAAACCTCATATCAAGCCTCTTCAAAACCTGTCGTTGCATCCTGGCTCATCGGCTTTGCACTATGCTGTGGAAGTGAGTACATGGGAGTTCATGATGGTGTCGTGTTTATACTTCATTGTGGGTACACCGCTAAAATAGCTTTGGGGCATGATGGGCTTTATCATATTTACCAGAGGAAGTAGAAAATGTCTTTAGAAATTGTCCTGTAGACAGTTGGGTTGAGGGTAGATCTTAGGAACTACCTTTTCAGATAATCTTGAATTTTCTATGATGTCAATACAAAATTATTTAGAGCAAGTAGAAAGGATAGTTGGTAAGAAAATGAGCCATTGGCGCACCAGTACTGTTGATCTTTTTCTGAGCCAACTCTCTTCTCAGATCTAATAATTGAGAAGGGGTCATTGAGTACAATATTATGATTAGATTGTAATGCTAACTCCGTGTTTTTATAACCAGCAATAATGTGTAGTTATGCATGCTAAGGGACATGTAATTAAATGTCCTCCTTCAGGCGTGAGTTGAAATAATTATAAGCATAAAATGTTTAGAGAATTCTTTCCTTTTCCTTGGCCCTTCGCAGAATACACAGCTAACCAGGTGCACAATATACTTCCCATTCCCTTGATCCCCATTATTCCCTTGAACCTCATTTTATTTTATTTTATTTTATTTATTTATTTTTGCGTTGGAATCTCACTCAGTCGCCCAGACTGGAGTGCAGTGGCTGCTCCCTGCCACTGCAGCCTTGACCTGCTGGGCTCCGGCGATCCTTCCACCTCAGCCTTCCAAGTAGCTGGAACTACAGGCACGCGCTACCACGCCCGGCTAATTTTTTGATTTATTGTGGAGATGAGGTCTCACCAAGTTGCCCAGGCGGGTCTCGAACCCACAGGCTCAGGCAATCCACTCACCTCAGCCTCCCAAACGCGTGGGATTACAGGCTGAGCCACCGAGCCCAGCTGTAAAATGAATTTTTAACAGACGCCCTTAAAGCAGTTTTAAGTGTACAGTGAAACCGAGCAAAAAGCATGGAGCTCCTCTACGCCCCTGGCCCAAGCATGCACAACCTCCCAATACCAACCCCGCCACCAGGGTGGGCTACAGTTCAACGGAGGAGCCTACACTGACGTCACGGGCCCACAGTCGGCACTCATACCCCATGAGCCTGAACGGAGGCATACTGTCACATATTCGCTCCAGGATCATCCACGAGACCGTGGCTGCCCCCCAAATCCTCTGTGCTTCACCTACTCGTCCCTGTATCTTGATCCTACTTAAAAAGTCATACTTTAAAGAGTAACAGGTTATTTTAACAGGACACGTTATTTACCCAAATAAATCATGATCCTGACATGTGGCACTGGTCACATTTCAGGCACTCAGGCTGCTACGATAAAATACCATCAGCGGGGCCTTATAAACAACAGAGATGTGCTGCTCACAGTTCTGGAGGCTGGAAGTCCAAGCTCAGTCGGAATATTGGGTGGCTGCTGAGGACTTTGCTTTCTGGCTCACAGGTGGCCGCCTTCCCACTGTCTTCACAGGGTAGAGGGGGCGAGGGAGCACTGAGGCTCTTGTGTAAGGGCACCAGCTCCATTTAGGGGGCTCCACCCTCATGACCTCCTCCCCTTGCCAAGGCTCCACCTGCCAGGACATGAATCTGTGGGTATACAGCTGACAGCGGTTCCCGTAGTGAGTGGTTCCAGTGTTGGCCCAGCTCCGAGGCCTCGCCTCCTGGTGACAGGGCCACACACACAGTGCTCTTCATGC